GGTAAATTGTACTCAATGTCATGAGACAAAGTGTATGTGAACTGCTGTATGGAAAGTGAATTTGCTCTGTAACTTTCACCCAAATCACAATTAAAAAAAAAAAAAAAGAATATGTATAAAATGGAAATAAATGGTAGGTTTGTCCAAGGAGGAAATGGCAGGAGTAAATAAGCATTTCCCTAGAAAACCTTTCAATTTAGCTTTTGAAACACTGTTCTTGGGAGGAATTGTTAAAGAAAGAACAGTCTAAGTGTGGGAAAATTTCTAAAAAATTGGTTAACACTTCATGACCAAAAAGTTTGATGTTAGAAGGCTCCCATCATTTCTTATATATTATATTATGATGGGTAAATACGGAAAGATGAGAGCAAACCACACTTCTTCACAATCTAATTCCACACACTGAGATCTCATACTTTTACTTAATGCCTAATATTCTCTACAATGACATCAGAAAACAAAGATTTTTTTGTAATGGTAATGTCATTTAAAAATGTTGCCTTTGGAATCTGGCAAAAATTACACTGGTTTCCTCAGTAGTAAATTATTCTAAGATAACATTTTGGAAGACAAGGTAACATTCAAGCCCTCCAAAGAAAACTCTCATTGCCATTGAGTTGGATCCGATTCATAGCGACCCCTCCTTGGGTTTACAAGGCAGTATCTCTATGAAGTAGATTGCCCAATCTTCCTTTCGAGGAGTGGCTGGTGAATTTGAACTGCCAGCCTTCTGGTTAGTGGTCAAATGCCTTAGGCACTATGCCATCAGAGCTCCAAAGAAGATGGGTGAATTTACTTATAAGTCATAATTGGTATGCATCTTGAAAAGCCAACATCCCAAGGAAACTCTGTTCCTATACATTTACTATACTAACACTATTTTACACTGTTCTCCAAGCTATAGGCTTGCAAAAAACACCCACAGGACTCACCTATTGTAATCCAGTCGAGACTGGTGAAGCTGCTGCTGTTTTAGGAGAAGCTTTGTCTCCTGTTGGGCCAACAGATGCTGAAGGCGCTCCTTTTCTATTTCCAGCTCCATTTTCTGAAGCATAAGTTGCTGCCTTCTATCTTCTGAGAGTTGCTTTTTGGCATCAGTTTCACTGGGATGCAGGGCTCTTTGACTATGCATAAGAGATGTCCAGGAAAGACCACAATAACTGCATGATTCCAGATGTGTCCTGGAACAACAGTGAGGGGCAATATTTGTAGGATGGCTCTCATGAACATGATCAGAATTTTCAGAAAGTCTATGACCACAACAATGACTAGATGGAGGTTTAAGGTCTGGACATTCTTTCATCTTCAACTCTTCTGGTGGAGCTTTCTCTGTAGGGAATACATCCACTGGTTTTCTCCCTGGAGATGAATAGTTAAATGTTCTGGTCTCTGATGGCATCTTGTCTAAACCCTTGTTGGGATGATGAAGGACTGCTGGTTTCAAAGAATTATTTCTAAACTCGGTAAGGGATTCTGAAGCTGACTCTTGGTTTGCAGACTTAGACCTTTGCTTGGTTTGGTATGTTTGTGGCTTGGCTACGCTCAAGTAGGAACCATCCAGTTCCACAGATGAAGACTGGAGAGTACTCTTCCTATTGGATACCTAAAAGGAACCACAAGACCACTTGTCAAATAAGTATACAATAAAACAAGTTCTCTGTTTTGGCTTTTCAGGTATCAGTGATGTATTGTTACCAAATAAGACTGCCTGTCTTCTAAATAATAACAGCACTCACACATCTAAACAGACATATACCACAAAGCTAAATCCATTTCCAAACAACTTACATTTCAGTCAGAGTTTTGAATGAGTTCATTCCCATTCAACTCCCACTGAGAACTTGCATTCCACCTCAGATATACTAAATCAGAATCTACATTTTATCAAGATCCCCAGCAATCTATAAGAATCACTCACAGATCTTGTTAAAATGTAGATTTTGACTCAGTATATCTGGGGTGGAAATGCAAATTCTCAGCAAAGGGTTGAACCAGAATGAACTGATTCAAAGCCCTGAATTCAGTAAATCCATATAAGGATGAGGAAAAGCAAGCTGCATGCTGCTTAAGCAACATTTTTGGTGACTTCAGGAATTTCAAATGTTGAAGGTTAGATAAAATCAACTTTAAAAAGAGGCAAAGGTATTAAATGTTAATGTCTTAAAATGTTTAATTTTGCACACTGAGCCAAGAAATCTATTTACCCACCTATATAAATATCCTTTGATTGGTCATTATACAGCATGAGATTTGATGTAAAATATTTCACCTTAGACTACTATTAGATATCTGAAGAGTTTTTATAAATATCTTTATAGAACGTAGATAAAACCAACCACTTACAAGAAAATATGATTCTAATCAACAGCAGTTATTTACATACAAAACATATTTAATTTTAGCTATAAACTACAAGTGATTTTTCAACTAAGCTGTTCAAGTGACTGCATTCTGATAGGCCTCAGACAGACAGGGAACAATTGCAAATGACTTTGAACAGGCCTACACTGTGAGTTTGCCCAGCATTTTAGCTTCAGGACTGTAGTACCAGGCACAGCATCAGAATCACCTGCAGGGTCTGCGAAACATAAACTGCTGGGCTTCATCTCCAGAGTTTCCAATTCAGTTGGTCTGGGGAAGAGTAGGAGAATTTGCATTTCTAACAAGTGCCCAGGTAATGCTGATGCTGCTCAAATCCCAGGTGATCTGAGGTCACACACTGAGAACCACTGGTGTATATCATGGAACATCTCCATCTCCATCTACTTCACTGTCAACCTTGGCCTCAGAAGGCTAAATTGTTGAAAAGTCATATTTCTCATGAATCCTTGAGAACATAAGCCTTAAGCCTGCAAAAAACTGTGGAAAATGAAAGATAATTCCAGTGTGTATGAACATACAATGAAGAAGCATTTTTGTTTGTTTTTGATATATTTTGTATCAGTGTTCAACATGCAAAAAATTTCCTAAACTTCCTTAAACAGAGATAGAAAATGACAAGGAACCAACTACCTTACATTTCCACATATTTTTCTAATTCACATGTTTACTGGCATAAAATAGTATGCATATTTGAATTATTTTATATTACCATTTCTGTCCCTTAACCTTGTTTCCATATGTCCACTTTTAGGTATTAATATAGCCTACACTTTATTGGGGCCGACTCTATGGCAAATAACAACAACAACAACAACACTTTATTGGGATCGATTACTAAATTATTCACAAATATGAGGTATTTTGAATATTTCTAACATTTTTATTTTTTTGCTTATCAACATTTTTCTGTACTTGAGGGGCAAATGCAGCTTAATGATTTTGAAGCATGCTCCATCAAAAAAAATATGGTTTTGTTAATTACCTGCTGGTGACTTCTCATTTGTGGCAGGCAGAATTCTAAGATGGCCCTCAACAATTCCGTATCTATCTCTTGTACACACATCCTGTATAATTTTTCCCCTTGAGTATGTGCAGGACTTGTGAACATGAAGGGATATCACTCCTGTGATTGTTACATTCTATGGTAAAAGGTTGGGTTGTATCATCTGCATATTGCAGCCTGTTAATGAGTCTCTCAATCCTGATGGCCCATTCTTCTTCATATAGTCCAGCTTCTTGGATTATTTGCTCAGCATACAGACTGAATAAGTGCATCAAAGGAAACAATTCTGCACACCTTTGCTGATTTCAAACTATCGTCATCCCCTTGTTCTGTTTGAACAACTCTCTCTTAAATCTACGTACAGGTTTCTCACGAGCACAGTTAATTGTTCTGGAAATTTCAATGGTTTGCAATGTTATTCATGATTTGTTATGATCCACACAGTTGAATGTCCTTGCACAGTTAATAAAACATGAGTAAACATCTTTTCAGATTTTTTGCTTTCAGGTAAGATCCATCTGACATCAGCAATGATATCCCTTGTTCAACATCCTCTTCTGCATCCCTCTTGAATTTCTGGCAGTTTCCTGTTGATGTACTGCTGCAACCATTTTTTTATTTTTATTTTTATTGTGATTTGGGTTAAAGTTTACAGAGCAAATTCACTTTCTATACAACAGCTCACATACACTTTGTCTCATGACATTGACTAAAATTTACCACAACACAACAGCTCCCCTCCCACTTCCTCCCCATAGTTGATTACTTCTTCCCTGTGTCCTTCCCTTCCAC